CACAAAGAAATGTTCAACATCTTTGACTATAGAAGAAATGCAAATCAAACAGCATTGAGATTTCACCTCATCCCAGTTAGAATGACTATAATCAAGAAATCTAATAACAACAGATGCTGGAGGGGATGTGGTCAAAAGTGAACCCTACTGCACTGTTGGTGGGAATGTAAGCTTGTTTAACCACTCTGGAAAGCAGATGGAGGTTCCTCAAAACACTCCACGTAGAGCTCCACTATGACCCAGCAATCCCACTTTTGGGCATTTGCCCAAACGATCACAAACAAGACCACACTAAAGCTACCAGCACAACTATAATTATCACAACATTATTTACCATAGCGAAGATATGGAACCAACCCAGATGACCCTCAGTAGATGAGTGGATCAAGAAAATGTATATATATATATATATATATATGGAATTCTATGCTTCCATCAGAATGAAAACAATACCGCCCCATTTGTTAGGAAATGGAAGGACTTAGAAAAAACATATTAAATGAAGTAACCCAGCCCCAAAGAAATGTAGGTCCCGTGGTTTCCCTTATTTGCAATAATTAGTATACATACAGGATAATCTTATCAGATGAGCTGAAAAGCTCAAAAGCCATGAGATGATGCTAAATGAAAAGAACCCCATGATATAGACACAAGAGGTTTGTCTTTATTGTTATTCTTTTAAGTGTACCATATGATTTTATTTTGTTGTTGTTGTTGTTTCCTTTGTATATTCTTTCCCCTATAGCATATTGCCTGTTGTCACTGTACTTGATTTTGGTACCCTGCATCTTGTATATACATATGTCTAATTTGAGGAGGGGAAACGGAATAACAAAACACTGAAACAAGGACATAGAATAACCCATTACAACAAAGATACCCACAGGACAGTCTATTGGAAACAAACTATAACTTTGGATTGTGGGGGGAGGGGCTGCAGGGGAGGAGTTACTCATGTAACGTAACCCTCTGTACAGCATCTTTACAATAAAATAAAATGAAAAGAATAATGTGAAAAAAATCAAACCCTTCTCCAGTGCTGAAGAATGTGTAAAAATGCACAAGTGCTGTGGGAAACAGTTTGGCAGTCACCAATATATTAATCATTGAATCTCCCTAGCAAGCACAAAGCCCCAAGTTCAAACCCCAAGAGCATAGACTCAGCATATGATACTCCAAGAGATTTAAAACATGTTCACCACAATGCATACACAAAATTAGCTTGTATTAACCGATGAGATTTGATAAATAGAATGTAGTATATTTATATGGAGAATCTTATTCAGCATCATATAAAGGCTGAATAAGGCATTCTATATAGATACGTACACACATGTATCAACATATTCTTTAACATGATGCTACATATATAAACTTTGAAAGAAAATAGACTGCATATATGATCCCATCCTCACAAAGTCTCTACATTTAATGTATCCATAAAGACAAAGTGGAATAAGGGTTTCCAGGGATTGAGGAGAGAGAAGTATGGGGACGTAACTGCTAATTTGAGGGGAGGAAGTGATGAAAACATGCTGGAATTCTTGTTGGTGATTGCACATTATGTGACTATATGAAAACCCACTGAATCATCCTTTTTTTTTTCTTTTTTTTTTTGTCGGTCGTGGGGCTTGAACTCTGGGCTTGGGCGCTGTCCCTCAGCTCTTCAGCTCAAGGCGAGCGCTCTACCACTTGAGCTACAGCGCCACTTCCGGTTTTCTGGTGGTTTATTGGAGATAGGAGTCTCACGGTCTCTCCTGCCCGGGCTGGCTTTGAACCGCGATCCTCAGATCTCAGCCTCCTGAGTAGCTAGGATTACAGGCGTGAGCCACCAGCGCCCGGCTGAATCATCCATTTTAAAAAGGCAAGCATGTAGTAAGTACATGGACTGTATCTCCAAAAACAAATATCATTTGTGGAGAGAAATAGTAAACTTTGGTAAAGGTTAAGACATTGTGAAGTCCAGGGAAATCTATGCCACTGGCCTTCGGAGGCCTGGAGCTCTCTAAGACTAACAACAAGGCACGATCTTCTAAAACCTCTGTCTCTGTCAACCCTGAGAGCAATCTTCACCAAGAAAGATGATGCTGGAGAAGATAGATAAGGTGTCTTCTGCCATCCCAGGGGCCCAGGCTGTATCTGCAACACTTCTTCAGTGGCCAAAGACTGACAGAAATTTAGCACAGTCATGAGGATGTGGGCTTGGGATCCCAGTGAAAGTGGAGCAGTTGGCATGAATGCACTTCTGCTTTAAAGGACCACGGTGGAGACTGAATTGATGTAAGTGGTGGGAGAGCAAGGGGAGAAAAGTAGATGCTGTTCTAAAAAGAGGGGGACCTCTCTTTGGCCGGGGCCCCTTTCTATCCCTTTACAAGTTGCTCCTCTTCCACACATCTCCTGGTCAATGCAATATCCCTCGTTGTTCACCCAAATAGGGGAGTGATCCCAGATGCTCGTCTTTGTGCATTCATCATGCAGATGTGAAATATGGCAGTCTTGCCTTGGAGACAGTTCTTTTTTGATTATTTTGCTTTTATTATCTTTAAGTAGTTGTACAAAGGTGTTTCAATTCAACTTATCAATATATCTTGATTTATGTCACTCTTGCCCTTTTCCTCATCATAAGAGACTTCTTATGATGTTCTTAAATCTTTTCCCCAGCTGGATGTTGGTGGCTCACACCTATAATCCTAGCTACTCAGAAGGCTGAGATCTGAGGATCATGGTTCAAAGCCAGTCCAGGCTTAATTATCTCCAATTAGCCACCAGAAAACCAGAAGTGGAGCTGTTGCTCAAAATGGTAGAGCACTAGCTTTGAAAAAAAAAAGTTCAGGGACGTTGCCTAGGTCCTGAGTTCAAGCCTTACAGCCGACCAAAAAACAAACAAACAAAAAATCTTCTTTCCACTATTTCCATCAGTGCTGTTACTCCCAGCCACCTGCTTTTCCCTCCACCCTGACTATTACAATAATCTTTTCCTTTCCTGTGTATATTTTGTGTCCCTTTTAAACCATTCTTCCAGTGAAGCCACACTTTATGGATACACATGCACACACAAAGGCAGATCGTATATGATTATGTTGAGTTCTATCCCTTGATGGCTTTCCACTCATCCCACCAGGATTGTGTCCCACGTTCCTAAGTTGGCAAAGTATGCGTGCTGGGTGGTCCCGCTCCTGCCTTTCTCTCCATTTTGTCTCAGCATCTTCTCTACCATCTGAACTTCCTGGACTTCTCACTTAGGAGCCTTTGCTTCTGTTCTCTGCCTATAGGATGCTTTCGCTTGCATCCCTCTATTTGCCTCTGTGCTAGCATGCAATGCTTCTCTGTGTTACATGCATGGAAGACAACGGAGGCTTGTGTTAAAGGGCAAGCCATAGAGCATGCAAATGCAGAAGCAGTGAGATGGGTGGAATATCGAGTTGAGCTCGAGCAGGAATGCAAGGAGCAAGCAAGCGAGTGGCATGAGCACGCACATGTGTGTGCTTATCCAGTTTCTGTGGGAAAGACAGGCCCAAGCTTACAATATTCATGGCACAACAAATGATTTGACCAGGTGGTCAGGAGAATGTAAGGGAAAGATTGGGAGTGTGGGGGCACGAGTCACATGAATGGGTGGATGCGGGTCGGCCTGATCTGTGAGCAGTTTTACACCACAGGTTAGCACTCAGCTAACACACCTATAATTAGAGATGCCAAACAACCAATAAAAAGAAGCCTATTTGTCAGCCTGTCATTGGTCACAACAGTGCTGACATAGGGGTTTGAAAATTGTTGATGTGACAGGTGGAGGCCATTCATGGGCAGCAGCCCAGGCTCCTTCTGACTATGTAGCTGCTGCAAGATGCCCCTGCTGCTAAGAGGCCCTAGCCTCTAGGGTGCAGAATACTTGAAGCTGAAGAACTCTATACCATGTTGTGTCCCAGAGACAACTAATGGACTGGCAAGAAATAATTAGCCATTTATAGCAGATGATGGTTAATACCCGTTATATATATATAAAAATGTTCAGATAGCTAAGAAAGTACAAAACCTAACAGAAGAAAGCAAAAGACAAGAGAATAAATATGAATATGTGCAAAATGTGTAGTATGATACATCATCCCACCAAAGAAGAGAAATGCCAATCACAAACTATCACTCTCTATTGGGAAAAGGAATGATGTGGGTAATGCTCAATGCTGGTGAGGACAGGAAGGAAAATGGACATCCTCTTATACAGAGAGCCTAAGTAGCCTGTAAAAAGCAACTTTTGAAATTTTATAAATAGTCCCCCCTCAGTTTTTAGGAACTAACAGAAACAGTGCATGCATGTGTGTGTGTATGTTTGTGTATACTGATACATGTATTCAAAGCTGTCCATAGGGCTCCACAGGAACCTGGTAATAGTTAACTGAAAAACTTTAGCTTGGTGGACTTTTACTTCATGCTTTTATTTTTACTTCATACTTCTGTGTTGTTTAGGTTTTCTCAATAAACTTCCTTTTTTTGCCAGTGATAGGCTTCAACTTACTTGTCCCTGAGCCTCTTTGTGCTCAAAGCTAGTGCTCTACCCCTTGAACCACAATGCCACTTCAGTCTTTTTCTGAGTAGTTTATTGGAGATAAGAGGCTCACAGACCTTCCTTCCCTGGGCTGACTTTGAACCATAATCCTTAGTTCTCAGCCTCCTGAGTAGCTAGGAATTCAGGCGTGAGCCACAGGTGCCCGGCTTACTCTTTCTATAATTCAGAGTCAAACAAGCAAACAAGTACATACAAACATCCAGAAACTCAATTTGCATGCAGTGTGTTTGCATAATTCAGTTTCATTTCACTGACTACAGAAGGCTCTTCTTGCTGCAAAGTTCATTCCAGTGGGTTGTCCTTAGAGCAGGAAGAACTAAAGACTGAATTTCCAAAGTGGCTTGAGGAAGAGGGCAGTGCGAGAGCAGAGGGAGGAGACTGGAAGCATAAAAACAGGCCTGGATTGAAGGAGCACGCTCAGAAAGCAGACCTACATCACCGTCCTTCATTGACACAACTGTCCAAACCTCAGCCAACTGCCTTGGTAGAATGCCTCGGTCTAAGGAGACAGATGAACTTGTTTTCTTTGTGAATGGAAGAAAAGTAAGTTTTCTCCATTGTTATTACTCAAATTATGAATGCAATGAAACTCTGGTTGAAGTAGACTTTCATTAACTTTGCCAAAGAAAATATTTCATGTAGATGAGTAGTATGTGAACAAATGATTTTCTCCATTAGATAACAACTAATAGTAATCTGTATTTCTAGTTGTTGAGAGAGAGGGAGGGACAGAGAGAGAGAGAGGAAGAGGCAGAAAGAGAGACTGAAATGCATGTCAAATGTACTAGAATGGCTACAAGGAAAAACATCTGATTAAGTTGACATCTTAAAACTACATTGTGTAATTGCATTTGAATTCATCCAAGTGTTAGGTACCAGTTTCTCTTTATTAGGATTCTCTGTGTCTTTCCTCTTCCCTGCCTCCTCCCCCAGCTCTGATTCCCTACCACTGCATGCGCTCTCACACACACACACACACACACACACACATGCTCACACACACACACACACACACACACACACACGCCTCTAAAGTCTTCAAGTTATTTGCAAGTAATTGTTCAAGTTTGAGTAGCCAAACACTGGAAGAGAAAACCTATGAGAAAGCTAGAGAGAAAGCTCTCCGTTTTCATAGTAATACCTTTGCTCCTTTCTGGTCCTATTTTGTCTTGCATTCTTTAGATTGAGCTAAGGCATAATCCAAGACTGGCATGTATTCTTTACTTCCCACTGACCTTGACATTGTGTGTGACTTGCAACCCAATATTCTTATTTTCATCACTATTAGCAGAGAAGAAAGGGTAAAGTTCGAACTGAGCTTAATGGCACTGTGTATTGTGTACTCTGAATGCAGGTGTGAAAAAATGTAAATGCTGAGCATAGTCACACAATGTACCAAGATTACTGAGTGAACAAATATTGGTGGGAAAGGGTTGCTTGGCTTTTATCTGTCAGCTCCTAAAATGTATAGCCCTTTTCCCTGTTCTCCATCTCCTGAGGAGCCCTCACTAAATTGGAGTGCTAGTAGCTGAAAGAATGCTATTTGTCTACTGATGCCATGATCTTGTTTATTAAACTTTTCAAAAACCGTAGGTTTTCAAAGAGTGGGTTTTGCAGATGGTGATAAGATTTAAAACCTCAGTCCAGTTTTCCATGGCTTTGATCCATGCATGGGTTTAAGACCAAAAATTCTGTATAACTCTACAATATTTCATGCCTTTTAAAAATTATTTTCCTGAAACTAATGCTATGTTAATATGCCATCTTGTTGGATATCCTTTGAAACAAAGCCAAACACTTGTCCTACCAAAATAAACTTGAAGAAAATACAGTGTTACATAATTTCATAATTGAAAACAGCAGTGTTTGGTCAAGCCAGGCAGACATGATCAACGAACATATACTAAGTGATTTTTTTAACTACTCAGAACTCATAATAGGCCCCAGGAAAATTGCATCAATCTATAATCATTTCCTTTGTACAGGTCATCGAGAAGAATGCAGACCCTGAAATGAACTTATTGTTCTATCTGAGAAAAACTCGTATCCTTTTGTTTGAGAAAACAAAGCACATTTTATGACTCTGAAAATGATGCCTTCTTTTGACGTTATCCAACTGCTGCCTTACAGTATGCTTCATTGCAAACATTTTTATTTTGTAGGCGTGGAATCAAGTAGATTGCATGTCTCACAAACGGGATGGGCTATCACAAGATCTTTCTGTTTAAACCAAGACAGTGATCACCTGGGGATATTACTTAAACTGGATTTTTCCACTGTCAGGATCCCTAAATCATTCTGAGAAATGTCAGCTTATGGAGTTATTTGTTTCTTGGTCAGCATCACATTTAACTTGGCCTCACACTTTTGCCTAGGGTTGGCCCCAGACTTCAATGCTGTTTCCTAGGAAGACATATGTCACCTACCACCTCCTCCTCCTCCTCCTCCTCCTCCTCCTCCTCCTCCTC